AGCCTCCTGTCCTTTGAAGATGCAGAAGAGCTGCTTGTTGAAGCCAACAATAGCCAAGTCTCTGCATCACTGGCAGGATGTTGCTGCAAAGGTTACAGAACTGACTTCTCAGCGACCAGACCCAAAGCTGAGAGCACAGGAGAGCTGACCTTGGAAAATTTAGCTCATCCTGTTTGGAGTCACACAGAACCACTTGCCAAATCTCTTAATATAAAATATTTCACGTCATTTCGTGTCCTCTCTTACCCTTCCTTCCATCCACACCAGATCTGAGAAGTGTCTCCTTTCTTCTGGCCAGAAGGCTCAGAGGATGAAGATCCGGTCACTTGATGAGCTAAGGACAGAAGTCCCAGCTTTTGTACTGTTGAAACAGGAAACTTTGTCAGATCCTTCTGGAGAATTCTATTGTTACATTCGCAAATGCAGCCCTTGCCAAGGGTGAAAATGGCAGAGGGCATCTCTGCCCCATGCAGTTCAAAGGAACTGGAGATTGAGGATGCCAAGGAAATCACAGCTCTCCATGACCTACTGCAGAGCTGCCCCACTCCATCTGGTTTTTTCCAGTTTGATTTTTTGATGTCCCAGAGGCAGATGAAACAGTTGACTTACTTCCCCCTCCTGGTCAGCAGACTTTTGTTCTAAATTCTACATCAAACTTTTCAACTCAAAAAGAACTTGGGATTTTCCTCTGTTGCTACCAGAACAGTCAGATTCCCAACCCAGGTCTAGCACAGGGGGCCCAGCTGTGAGAACAGCCTGACCAACGTAGAGCTGCCCCTCAAACCCCTCCACCATTCCTTCCTACAGCTTCTTACCATCCACTCAAGCCAAGCCCACGCCAAGGTGCACAGCCCACCCTAGTGCTGCCAGGCACCCTGTTCTGTCAGCACCCATGGGTGAGTTAGGGGCTTCACCCTCATGCCTGCTCCAGGCCACCAACTTGCAACACCGGCTCTAACCCACAGCCCCAACCCCCCTTACCCTTGTGTCTTTTTTAATTTCTTGGCTCTCATGCACACCTTTGCTGAGCCAGGCCCCCAGCAAACCCTCACTCTGACATGTTGCATTTTGAATGAGGTGGAACTTGCAGTTCCCATTTTGATAACGGGCCTGTTCCCTAGACACTCCCTTTCTTTGTAAATGTTACAAATCCATTATTCCCTCCCTGCTGCTGCTTCCCACTGCCCTCTCCTCTGAGGAGCCAAGGGTCAGACCAGCCATGTCACAGTGGGGTAATGTGACAGGTGGCATTGATTTAGCTCCCTCAGGTTTTGATGTCACTCTTGTTCAACAGGAACCAGCCTCAGCAATGTGGCAGATCAGGACAAGAGAGACCAGCCAGCCCTGCACTGGGGGACTCTGGAATGGCAGCAGCACTCTCCTGTTGGCCCAGAAAGTTGATTATTATTTTCTGCTTGTAGCTGATATTATCATGGTTACATTTTTTTTGTAACTATTAACCATAAGACTTTGGGTCTAAGGTTTCCCATCATGTTTACAGCAGTCAGTGAGAACGGATTTGTCTGGTTGGTATCACACAGGGAACCTTGAGAAGCAGAACCTAGCTCTGTGGAGACCTCATACCTTCCAGTGCCTGAAGGGGCTCCAGGAAAGCTGGGGAGGGACTTGGGACAAGGGCAGGGAGGGAGAGGACAAGGGGGAATGGATTAAAACTGGAAGAGGGAGATTGAGGTTGGACATGAGGAGGAAATTCTTTGCTGTGAGGGTGGTGAGAGCCTGGCCCAGGTTGCCCAGGGAAGCTGTGGCTGCCCCATCCCTGGCAGTGTTGGAAGGGCAGGTTGAATGGGGCTTGGAGCACCCTGGTGGGAGGTGTCCCTGCCCATGCAGGGGGGTTGGACTGGATGATCTTTAAGGTCTCTTCCTACCCAAACCATTCCATGATTCTACGATACCCTTTTTGGCAGAATAGTTGCCAGTTTGGGAAAGCTGCTCAGAGACACAGGTTTGGCAAAGTAAAGACAGGGGAAAATATGCCCAAGAAGAGCTGGTGTTACCCAACCACAGGAGCTACTGCATCCAGCCTCCTGCTCCTGCCATTCACACATCCTTACTGACAGCCTCATCAACTGCAAAAATCCTTCCAAAACAACAAATCCAGCTGTGATTGAGGACACTGCTTAAACATTAAGTGTTATAAGGAGTCTCTGTCAGTTAGGACGTTTGCCAGAAAAGCTTAAATTGACCCACAGTTCCTGTTGCTGCCAGGTTTGGACACAGTGCCTTCCCTGGCCTGACACAACCCAGGTCTGCCAGAGATTTATTTATTTATTTTTAACTTGCTGTCTGAAAGCAGGTAGAGTTGCCAAGGAGCCAACCAAGGCCCAGCCCTACGCCTGATAAACATCACTCCCTGTGGATTGCCCAAGCTTTTGGGAAAGTTAAGCAACTCTCACTGAAAGCTGTTTCTATATATAACATTATTCTGTAGAGAGAAGCACATCAGGGCCCCGTGCTGGGAAATGGAGCTGAGGGCTAAAGTAGCAGATTGTCCAATCAGCCCCTGTACACGAGTCAAAAATAAGAACTGCCACTCTGCCTCTGAAATGTCACAACGCCTTGAGTGATTGTTTATTCTAAATACTGCTGACACTGATCTTCAAAGTGGTTTTGAATGACTGTAATTACTAAATGCACTCAAGAAAGGCAAAGACTGCAATTGCCAGTTGCCAAAACAGTCATTGTGTGCAGGGAGACTGCTGGCCAGGAATCCCTGTGGTTTGCCAAGGCAGAAGGTAACATTCTTCCAGCAGGTCAGAGGTAGCCAGGGGCTCAGTGCTGGAGGCACAGTGCTCAATGGTCACAGGAGATACCACCAAAGGTGGTGGGAGTCACAGGACTCAACCCTACAGCTCGTCCTTCAAAATAACAAACACCCATGAAACGTCAACGGTCAAAAGTTAAATGACACGTTTCTGAACTGATTTCCTAGCAGGCTTCTTTGTAAAGAGCTGCTGTTGCCTTGGAGGGGTGGATATTTTCTTGGGGGCAAGCTATCACCAGGACTTCCTTCACAGGTCTTCCCAAATGAACTTCTAAGTGCCAAGAGCTGACAGCAAAATTCAGCTTTAAACTTGTCTGCAGTGATGCACCAATTCTTTTGCAAGCTATAAAAAACCATTTTATTTCAAGTAAAAAGAGGGGAAAGTGTTATAGATAATGAAGAATTAATGTTGTATCATTCAAGTATCCCACACACAAAAATCAGACCAGGACTATGTTCAACCTCTTCTCTAAGAATCACAGAAGGTTGGAAAAGACCTTTAAGATCATCTAGTCCAACCATTAAGAGGAGAGCTCAGCACTGAAATGCCTGCAGGGAAAGTAGTAAACAATAAGAGTTTAAAAATAATTTGGTGACACAGCATTCACTAATGAAGCCCAGTGAAATGTCAAACATTACAGCCAAAGAAAAACTTCTGGGAAAAGTAGAAATGTTCCTAAATGGATTGCTACGACTGTAGATTTATACAAAGTTCAAGGTAATTACCAAGGTTGCTTGAATAGAATAAGGATATTACATAGGTCAGGAGATAGAAGAGCTGAACTTCAGAGTATAATCACTCAGTGGATGGCCCGTGTGGCCACACTGCCCTGCAACCCCCCTGACATCAACAAAAGTATTTAATGTTAAAAACATTAACTGCCTTAGTTAACTCAGCTGGTTTTGTAAAGAACAAAGAATTCTGAAACAAGGCTCCGGGATGTGCCCAAAGCAGCTGTGGCACTTTTTGAAGTTCTCCATTGTTGTGACAAAAGAGCTTTTTCCCCCACCTTCCTCTCACCCTCTGGAGATCGCCAGAGGTCCAACACACTCCATCTAGTGGTACTGGCCTGAAAGAGGAACGGCCAAGGCGCCCTGGGGGGCTGCTCCTCCTCCCCATCAAACCCTGCTCACACTTCAACACCAGCACGTCCTAGAGCAAGACTCCAGATAGCACAGGAATGGTTGGTGTTGGCTCATCACAAACACTTTACAATGGCTCTTACATTGTCACAACACACCTGGGTTAACTGCAGGCTCTGAATTTTTCCAGCAGCAGCAGTTTTACAAATATTCTCATTTACTTCATCTCTGCTTTCCTGTCATGAGCTCTTAAGAATACAGGTTTGACACAAACTCTCTTGACCAGAGTCAAAAGGATGAATTACTATTTATTTTAAATTATTTCTGCCTTGAAGACACCAGTCTCCTTTGCCCTCATCTTTCAGTGAAAAAGATGTTTGTCCAGGTGAGGTCTGTACCATACAGGGAGTTCTGTGTGTACAGTTCTGCAGTGCCAGGGTGACACTGTGTTCCTGACATAACAGCATCAACAGAAGACAATGAGCGAGAACGTTTCCGCACACAAGGAGGGAAGCAAACATTGCAACAGCAACAGCTTCAGCCTCACTACAGAAAGTCTAAACTGCAGAAGACTGCCAAGTCCCAAGTCCCAGATACCCACCTGGGAAAGAGGTGAGCCTGAGAAGACTTTTACCTGTGGATACTCTCTGGATCTGAGCCAGGCAGCATTATCTTCCTACACCCTACAGCTGAGTATGTATAGATCTTTGTAATTAAATATCCTGTTGGCAGCAAGGTCCTACTCCAGTACAGTAAAGCTGAAGAGACAGGAGAAATTTTAAGATTAAACTGTTCCTTGTATTTGATTGGAGTAAATGCCTTTCACAAGTCATGTTTGCCACAGCCACATTTAAAAACAGGACAGCATCTATCCACTGAGGAACTTGTGAGCAGCTTGGGGGTAAACTGCCACTTTTATCCCTGTCCTCCCCTCAATAGGCAACAATATTTACTAAGTACCAAAAGTAACCAAGTATCCAAGCCTTCCCCACCAAACCCTTCAGTGGCTGCACAGAAGAGATGCATGAACAGCCTCTTTAAGGACATGACAGGCAAAAAGATTGGACTGCTTAGAGTTTTAGCAGTTGAGCTTTCCACTTGCACTCTGGCTGGTGTAAAAAAATAAATACTAATATCATTTTAATTTGGGGAAAATTCTGATAAAGAGAATCATGCTGATGAATATAAAACAAACTACAATCAACATTATCCATAACAGCCAGTTGACTGATTTCTTGGCGTGCTGTTCAAGGCGGTCAGATTCATCCTTGAGCTTCTCAAAGTTCTGGTCGGCCATCCTGAGGGAGTGTGACAGTGTCTGGGGAGCAAAGAGAGCAAACCACTTCAAACTCAGATTTGAAAACTCTGGCCACAGTTTCTTCCAATACAGAAAAGGCTCAGTTGCACCACTGAAGCAGACAGGTGCTGCCACCAAGTCTGCCCACTCTAATCTCACCTGGAATCAAGTTATAGCTGTAATATTTCTACAAGGGTGGGTAGTGAGAGGACAAGGGGGGATGGATTAAAACTGGAAGAGGGAGATTAAGGTGAGACATGAGGAGGAAGTTCTTGAGTGTGAGGGTGGTGAGAGCCTGGCCCAGATTGCCCAGGGAAGCTGTGGCTGCCCCATCCCTGGCAGTGTTGAAGGGCAGGTTGGATGGGGCTTGGAGCAACCTGGGCTGGTGGGAGGTGTCCCTGCCCATGCAGGGGGTGGGACTGAATGATCTTTAAGGTCCCTTTCAACTAAAACCATCCCATGATTCCATGATTCAATTTAAACTAGGCGCTTTAACCTTTTGGGTTGCAAAACTGAGAACACTTTAACATGTGCTACCTGGTTATCTTGTTTTATCACGTTCTGGGCAGCCAGGGTGTTGTTCTTGAGACTGCGAGCCAAGCTCAGCATTTCTTCAGCCAGCTTCTCCTGCATGTCCTGGTGGTGCTGCAGTACAGCATCCAGCTCCACTGCTGACTGCCTCTCATCAGGGGCAAGGCCTCTGCAAGAGGAGAAGGAGAAAAAAACTGGGGTTGTTACTTCCCTGTGGGTTCATCTCCCAAGGTCTCCCCAGACTCTGTAACTTTAAATCAACAGGACTAATTAGATCAGTTGAAGTAGTTGTATTTTGCTTTCTCCCAGCAGGCTCTTCACCCAAATGGAAATACAGTTGTGATTTTAAGGCCACTGGGGAAGCAGGTCCCAAACCACTGAGCATCAGAATGAGAAACTGTGACTTACTTCCGCTTCCTTATATTTAACTCCTCAGCATCTGGGGAAAAAAAAAAGTTAAATTTGTGTTTTAACATGTTAGAAACACTCATGCAATCACAGGCTTAAGAAACAAGTAAGGGATTTTCAGATGTTCAAACCCTGCTTGGCCCTCTACCTCAGGGAATATGGCTTTCAAAGGCCTACCTGCTTTCCACAGGGGGAAAAAAAAAGTTAAATTTGTGTTTTAGCATGTTAGAAACACTCATGCAATCACAGGCTCAAGAAACAAGTAAAGGATTTTCAGATGTTCAAACCCTGCTTGGTCCTCTACCTCAGGGAATATCGCTTTCAAAGGCCTACCTGCTTTCCACAGGGGAAAGACAACATCAAACATATGGTGGAAAGAAAGAAAAAAAAAAAAAAAAAAGAGATGAAACAAAGCCCTGAGGAAATGGTTTAAACCTGGTTTAAACCTGTGTGTCTTGGTGTTCCCTTTCAGGACACGTCAGATTGGCCTTGCTCCAGCCACTCCAACAGTAGCTATGGAAACCACAAATTAATTCCTGCCAGCTCCCTACATGAGTAACGAGGCTGTATATTTAAGAGGGATGGAACAACGCCTACTCCAAGCACCTAAAATCACATGATTTGCTCAGAAGAGAACAGGAGCAGCAATAAAGGTAAATTGTTTTTGCTAATGCTATAATTAGAATGTCTGTTTCTGTACGAATTCTAGAAAAATGGGTTCCTTGCAAGTCCGTGCTACCATTCTGATAACAGCACTTTGGCTTTAATCTGTTAAGGTTTTTGGTTTGCTTTGCTTTTTAAAGTCTCTAAAGCAGTGAGCCACTAAATTAAAAGTACACTTTGGCCAGTCTCCAACACCTGATCTTTCTTCCCTTTCTCCATGTATGACTCAGATTAACTAATGTTAGAGAAAACAACAGATTAAAACTCACCATCGATAGCCAAGGGGTCCTGGGAGGCAAAAAGAGAAACAAAACAAAATATTATAAAGAGCCAGTGATAAAAAACAGTCCTCCAGGCCTAGCATAGTGCCTCAGCCCTGTATTTAACCCACCCAAACCAGAACAAGGTCTATCCCACCAGCCTGGGATAGACCTGAGACACAGCCACCAAGGGCAGCTGAACACAAGAGACAATCCATAATATAGCAGTAAAGAAGCAACAGCACCAAAACATACTGTACCAAGCAGCTCACTCCTCATCTTGCCCGTGCAACGAGCCTTTGTCTGCAGATGAACTGTTTTAGTAGCTGGGGTTCTCTCTTTGGTTGTTGTAGGGGTACGTCCAGGGGCCAAGAACTGATTTGCCAGAGCCTTTTCAGTTGATGAAGACTGTGATAGTAGGAAAAAGCCATGAAAAGTCATGAATATCAGATTCTGCAGCCAGGCCACCTGGATGTGTGGCCAGCAAGGATGCAGGGAGCACTTCCAATGTTCCTTCCCTCAGAACAGCAAAGCCAGTCTGAACTACAGCACTGATTGTACCCGCAGTAATTGTGGCTCTGCTTACTGGTATTTTATAACTCTCCAGAGGCAAGTGTTACCACCCAAAAGAGATGCCAGGCTTAACAGACACTACCAGCCTCTGTATCTCACATCAAAGAAGTGAGAAGGATGTAGTGAAGATGCACTTTGCTTTTTAAAAGGAGGAAAGAAGTCTCAGACTTCATATACTACCCTTTATTAACAAAATACAAAAAATCCAATACAGTTACTCTCATTTTTACAAGTCCTGCCTGATAGGATTTTAACAAGTGTTATTTTGAGCCGTAAGATAAAAGTAAATAGAGGAACCAGGCAACAGTGTGAATACAAAGGGATAAAACTTCTTTTAAAGGTGAACTAACAGATCTTACCAACTTTTCAGCTTCCAAAAGCCCCTTCAGAAAGTCCACTTTGCGAGAATATTCGTTCAAAAGCTCTGGGGCAGGCTTGCTGGTGGAAAAAACCAGAAATTATTATTCTCTACCTGTTCAGGTGACTTCCCAAATAAAACAAAACAAAACCCCAACGCCCGGCTCTTCCAAGAAGCCTCTTTCACCAGAAGCAGCCTCAGGAAGATGCTCTAACCCCCTGGGCTCACCTGGCCTGTTTCCTCAGCTCGCAGAGCATGTCTTCCAGTGCGGCCACGTACTGAGGAGGGGGAAAAAAAAAGCTTTTAAGCCGCAGGATGGAGGAGAAACACTCCTCAGGTTGGAGTTTCAACACTCCTCAGCGCCAAGGACTCAGGCGCTACCTGAGGCCGCGCCGCGCTGCGAGGGG